CTCCGCTCCCACCATGCTACGGGCTACCTCGGGGTCACCAACTGCAGCAGTCACTATGCACCCGAGCACTGGCAGAGCATCCAGGCAGCGGCGAGGGCCGGGTTCAATCCACGGCACCAAGATGCCTCCCTGAGCACTGCCAGGAGTTAGCCCTGAGCAGCACAGCAGTGAGAAATACGACCATCAAATCGTTGATGCGGCAGGTTTAAGAGGTGCACACAGAACCTCCCCCCGGGACACGGGGCAGTCTAAATAGGGGCGGGGGGGTTGAGCACAGGTGCGGGAAGTTGAAGCGCCTGGCCTTCTCCCTGTCACAGTGGGGAGGGGGCTGCTGTTCCTGCACCCCTGAAGCGAGCCCCCAAACAGTGGAAAGTGGTCCTCCTTCCCTCCCTCCTCAAGCAGACTGCCGAGGACAGGGCTTTGGGCGACAGCTCTGAACACACGTGGGGCTGGGCTGATCCCCGACACTCCAGCCTCAGCTCTCTGGAACCCTCCAGAAAGGCAGGCCTGAGGGAGCTCGGTGCCCAGCCTGGGCCTGGCGGGTGAAACGAGTCTGCAGATGACTGCGAACAGCATGGGGATGCGTTCAGCCCCTCTCCCCTTCCGCTGCTGAGCCTCTGGTTTCCCAGGAGGTGCTGGGGCCGTGCGGGAGGAAGGTTGGGCGCAACAGGGACAGCGGCTGGGCGCCACCTGGAGTCTGCAAAGGGAACAGGCTGCCCTCGGCCCCCAGCCATGTTCAGGGCAGTGTGATGCTGGGAACCGGATCTGATTAGAACACCCGCCAGAACAGTAACCCTGGGTCCTGTCTGGGACCCGGGGTGTGGGGGTGCCGGCCCCCCTTTCTATGCCAGAGCCCAGCCCTTGCCATTCACATCACGAGCCCCGAGTGGACGGGGGCACTCCCCCTCCCTCGTTCTCCGCTTTGCCATGGGCCTGGGGTGTTCCCCGATCTGTTCCAGCATGTTCCAGGGCTCAGCTCTGCACCTCCCAAGTACCTCTCACCGGGGTGCTCCTGGCTTGGAAGACAGGTAGAGCTGCCCTGTCAAGTGGCTTGGGTGCCAGGCCATAGACCTGAGGACTGGCATTCTGACCCCTGAGGCCCTGGTGGGGTCCCCTGGGGGTCTTCTGGCGTAGGGTCAGGGTTTGCAGTCACAGTAATGGCCTAACCGTGACAGGGATGGGAGGTGGGGCCCACTCACTTGTCCTCACTCAAGTAAGACCCATTTTGCAACCACAAATTACAGGATGTTCCCAGCAAAGACTTAACGAGGACAAGAGACAGAGGTAGGAATTCACCCCTATGGCGATTTCTCCCGACAATGATTGCAGTGTTTCCCTCCACCTCTGCCCAAACATTTTGGAGAGATTTCTTTCCCTTAAGAATGGAAACCAATAAAACCCAACCTTATTAACTTTTGAACCAGAACGATTTCTGTTAGTTTCCACGGCCTGTGCAAATGGCTGCCCGTCTGCGGTGGGCACCCTGCAGACAGCCACCAGCACGGGACACAGAAGGGGCCAGAGTACCAGCACCTTTAAGGCCTCGAGTTCAATCCCCAGAACCACTGGGTCCCCTCATCACTGCCGGCTCTAGAGATGAACTGTCAGGCTCCCGAACCGGCTGAGGACTGCTGCAAGTGGCCAGGAGAGCCCTGGGCAAGTCGGGAGTCCGCACCCTCAGCCCCCCAGAACCACACACAGAAAGCAGGTGGGAGACAAGGTAGCGGGAGCAGAGAGCACAGCACGCACAGGACCATTCAGCTTCCGGTGACCGTCCACCCTCGGGCCAACACTGCCCTGCCAGCTTCGAGTGGGGGTTCGGGGTCCGATAGCTGAACCAGCCAGTGATGGAAGACAGGTGGGCAGAGAACCAGCATGGCGTGTCAGTGGAGTTCGGATGAGGACACTGGGGGCCAATGGAGGGGGCCCAGAGGGCAGAGCAGGGCCGGCACGTGCTCAGCCCCAAGCATGTGCAGAAAGTGGCAGTGCTCTGAGCACGCCAGATGACACACAGGCAGGCCTGAAGGCCCCGCCTACCACATCCTTGCAGCCTCACACACGGCTGACCCAGGTTCGATCCCCTGCACCCCTCGTGGTCCCAAGTCCATGGGGAGTGATCCCTGAGCACCGCCAGGTATGGCCCCCAAACAAACCAAAATCCACAATAAAATTCTGAAGAAATCATAGTTTTGATCGTGGGATATGTACGATCAAAAATGGGAAAAAAATTCCCACAATCTTTTCAAAAAACCTCTTGAGCGGTATCCCCATGTATGTATTTTTTACTTTAAAACATGGTTTCGTACTTTTGTTAGAAAGTTTATTTGCAGGAGGTCATTCACATTCATAGCAAATGTGCTCCTGAAAATACACGAAAACATTAAACCGCACAAGAAATCCAAGGCCAGTCGTAGGCAAAGAAGAAAACGAGGACTTCTGTGGACGCACTGGTGTTTCGGGCGCAGGCGGTGAAGGGAGACGGGCAGTTCCTGAAACGCCATGGCCAGGCTGCAGCCAGCAGCTGGACTTCCCGCCGCACGGACACTCCCACGGCCTGCTGGTACAGCCACAGGACTGAGAACCAGAGGCCACGGCACTCAGCGACTGCCATGAAGCCTCGAAGGCACGCCACAGGGCCCCGGGAGGGGCGGGAACGGAAGTGCCGCCTCAGGACTCCCAGTGTGCGCCGCGCCCACAGACGCCCACCAGTCGACTCCCCGGAGCCCCCACTGCGCTCAGTGTCACCTGGCAGTCCTGCTGCTATCAAAATAGCTTTTCGATACGAACCCCCAAAACCCCCCACTGTGGATGTCTGCATAGGTCGCAGCCTGCCTACAGGCAGGGGTGCGGCTGACTTCGCGGCCTCGGCCACACACCAGCGCTTCCTATGCTGCACCCACTGTGACTGGGCGCCCAGTATGGGATCCAAAGTAGAGTTTCAAAAGCGAGGAAAAGAAAAACTGCTTGTGAGCAAACCCAAGGAGCTGAGCAAGCCACGCTGGACGCTGTCAGGACATTTGAGAAACAGGACATGACGGAGAAATGCACTCTTGCTCACGTCATCCTGCCAGAGCAAGTCCGAGCCAGCTGAGCCCAGCGCGTCACCAGAGTCATTCTAGAGTTTGCAGGACCAGCCATACAGCAGAGTGAGGAAGGTGCTTGCCTTGCACAGAGCTGACCTGGTTCAGTTCCTGGCACTCCATACAGTCCCCTGAGTACTGCCAGGAGTAAATCCTGTGTGGCGTACCCCCCAAAAAGGCTAGGGCTGTGAGTGTTCAGCGGTTACAGTGCATGCCTAACGCCTGTCCAGCCTGGGTCAATTTCCGACGCTACATGGTCCTCCACTTCTAGAGGCCCTGGGCACTGCTGGAGTGGTCCACATTGGGTCCCTGTACTGGAAGCACCAAACCTGACTGGTTAGTCACCACTAGGGTCCCCAGGGCCCCCTAAACTCTGCTTCCACCGCCCCTCCCGCCCCCACACAGGACAAAGTTCTGCATGAGGAAAGGATGCTGCTCTCTGGGCAGCTCATCCACCCCGTCATCGCTGCTGGATGGGCAGAAGGGTCAACAGAAAGATGGCGGAATGCTTCCCCTGAGCGCCCGCGATTGGGAGAAGCCTCGGTTCACGCTAATGTCTAACCAAGGGAACAGGAGGAGGGGGGCCTTGGGGTGCTGAGGACTTGGAAATGGGGGTGGGGGTGGCAGAGGATACTGCAGCCCTAACAGCAGACAGTGCTGCACGTGTGGCTAGCCGGTTCAGATGGGGACACGGGCCATCACAGAGTCCTAAATTCGGGGTGCACAGGGAGAAGGGGGCAGAGGCTCATTCACTGGTGCAGGGCCTAACGAGCAGGAAGCCCCGTGATCAGCTCAACTGCAGCAAAGACTCAGCTGGGGCGGCCTTTGCTCGTCCCCAAGGCAGGTACTGCCCAAAGACCTGCACGGGTACTGGTCAAACGACAGTGCCCAGGCTCTCCGCACACCTGCCCCAGACAGGGGGCCCAGGTACTGGCCAAAGATCTAAACGGGTTCTGGTCAAACCACAGTCCTCCTCCTCCTGCCTCCCCAAAATGCAGGGGGCCTCGGTATTGGCCAAGATCTACACGGGTACTGGTCAAACAGACCCATTTGTCTAAGGACAAAGAAATGAGCAAAGGAGGGGGCTGGAGAGAGCACAATGGGTAGGGCACTTGCCTTGCAGGCAGCCGTGCTGGGTTCCATCCCCGGCACCCCATATGATCCCAAGCACTGCCAGGAGTGATTCCTGAGCACAGAACCAGGAATGAGCCCTGAGCACCGTCAAGTATGATGCAAAAACCGAGCAGGAGAAAAGGAGGCATTTTCCCAAGCTCCCCCAGTGACCTTTCTGCACCTTCAAAGTTAAGAACCAGGGATACAACGAAGGCTTCGGCGGGAATGGCTGCTGCCTGCCGACGGCGAGCCACCACTGGCATCCAGGAATGGGGAATCGTCTAGTGTGCGTGACCTCCTGCCCGGCCAACCGCTGGAGCCCACACAACAGAGCAGAAGGGGCACCACGGCTGCTGGAAGCCAGGGGTGAGACACCGTCGCTAGAAAACTTCAGCCTTTATTCTGCACTTGCCTTTTAAAGAGACACTGAAACAAACCCCAAGCCCGAGGACAAAATAATCAGAGCTGACACCCGGGCGGCAGTCCCTCATGCCTCCGAGGCTCCCGGGTTTGGCCCTGCTTGGAGGGCAGGGGGACGGCAGGAAGAAAACAGGCTAAGGCAGTCACACTGGCCCGAACTCTGGCTCAGGTGAGTCGAATATGCCCGTGCACGCCTGAGGGAAATGCCACCGTAGAGGCCCCACACCTCCGCTCCCCCCCCCCCCCGCCCCCCGGTCACTATCTCTGTGTCTTCCAGGCTTGTGTCTCTCCACTGGAGCTTTCTGTCCCCTACTCCACACCACAAAACCAACCCTACGATCCACGCTGCCCCAAGTTCCGGGATAAAGGTTCAGGACAAGAACAGGCTGATGTCATACTTTTTATCCTCGTAGTGTAGTTAGTGGGCGCCACGGGGCACATGGGGTGAGGTGCGTGTGAACGTTCCTACCACCAAACTGGCTTTCAGTTCACTCATTCACTCGGGACACGGCTCCACCATCCACGCGGAGTCTTGAGATCATGGGGGGCCGTGGTTGGCCTTGACCGTGAAGCCAGGGGCCAAGTCCTTCACCTTAATGCCAGGGGCTTCCAAAAGGCATCCGGTGTATTCTAAAAAGAAAAGAGAATCAGCTCCAAATGCTACATTTTCTTTCTTTCTTTCTTTCCCTTTTTTTTTTTTTGTTGGGGGGGGTGTAGGGGGGCTGGGGCAGGGAATAGAAAGCGTTCGTGGAAAATAGACGGAGGAAAAGGAACTCCGTGAGGCCCGAGTCTCAGTGCTGCCTTTCACTGCAAGCTGCCACCGACTCCATCTATGCTGAGGGTTATTTGGGTCCCAGCAGAGACCAGCCAGCCCGGACGTTCCTGGAGGGCCTGTGTGGGCAGCTCGTGCTCGCGTCTTGCGCTGACGGTTCAAGCAGATAAGAACAGTGAGGTGTAGGGCCAGGGGTCAGCGCGCCCCAGGAATGACTAAGCCTGACCAAGAGTCCACGTCCTTGCTGGCCTCCATTCCTGCGCACTCCTGTGTCAGGAGTTCTGCAGAAAGCATTGTTTTGTGCAGCAACTGCTGCCGAATGTTTAAATTCCAAATGAAATTTGAAAAAAAGGGGAGGGGGAGCATGGTTCTAACAAGAGTCCCCATGGTAACCAACTGTGATCTGCTAGACCCCACCGGGGTGCCAGTGGGCTCTGCGTGTCCTTTACACCCACCAGGCTGCACGGTTGACATTATACTCAAACTGCACATGTGCTGTGCAGGGTGAGGCTCACTGAAGCATCTCAGCAACAAGACTGGCACCACGAGTGCCCCTCAGCCGGTCTCTCACAGTGCCTGTTCCCAGCGCAAGAAAACTAAAAGCCATCCTCACTGACACAGGAAAACGCTGCCTATGAGTTCATGCCAAATGATGGGCTCCAAGAGCACCAGTGCGTCTGTGTGAACGCTTTTAGAACGCCTGCCATCTGCCCCAATGCCCCCACCGTCTGTCCGCCGGACAAACCTCTAAGCAGGAGCCGGCCCTACGAAGCGTCCTTGGGCGTTGGGGGCTCCTGGCCGTCGGGCTCCAGAGGAAGGACGGGCAGGATTTCCTTCTTCTTGGCCGCCAAGTACTCGTGAATGGCGCGCTCGATCTGCGGCCTGAAGATGTGGTTGAGCTTGGGGTCCACCACCTGCGAGATGATCCTGTCCACGCCGGCCTCCAGCATCCCTGACCTCGTGGGGAGAGAGCACCTTGCTCTGGTGTGTGCACGCCTCCCCCAGCCCTCCCCGTGGGCGGCAGGAGTCCAGCTCGTGCCCACCGCGTGCCCGGGAGAGTCTGAGGACAATCCACCAGGCGCGCACTAACTCTCGCAGGGAAAGTCACTCAACCAGCGGCGGCCTACCTGCCTCCCCCGCTCCCCTCTCACTCAAACCAAGGTTCTTCAGCAGGGCGGGTCCTTTAAAGGCATAATAGATACGTTGCTTTTTTTATCTTTTTTTTTTTTGCTTTTTGGGTCACACCCGGCATTGCACAAGGATTACTCCTGGCTCTGTACTCAGGAATCACTCGTGGTGGTGCTCAGGGAAGCACATGGGATGCTGGGGATCGAACCTAGGTCGGCCGTCTGCAAGGCAAATGCCCGACCCGCTGTGCTACTGCTCCAGTCCCCAGATACGTTGCTTTTTTAAAAATGGGGGGCTACTCCCAAGTCAGTGCTTGGCACGCCAGGTGGTGCTGGGGATCGGGAAGCAAGACTCCAGCCCTCGGAGCCAGCAGCTGTTCAGCTCCGTTTTTCTTCTTGTGATGAACAGAGGCCACCCCTTGTTGGTCCAGGAACTCCAACATTCAGCCCCGTGGTGTAGGCTTAACGGTTACGCACCAGGGTCACACCCAGCAGAGCATAGGGCAACCGGGCTTCAGAGCACTGGAGTGCTCGGGCCGGGCGGAGTCAGACAGAACCAGGGGCCCCACATATACTGGGCACACGCTCGACCCTTCATCTCTCCGCTCTTCCGCCCCAGTCCTTTTTTCTGGGGTGGGGGCTATTTGGTAATACCCAGCAGTGCTCAGGGATCACGTCTGGCAGGCTCAGGGGACCATATGGGGTGATGGGGACTGAGCTTGAGTCAGCTGCATGCAAGGCAAGCGACCTACCTGCTGGGACTCCCCACCCCTACCCTTTTTTTAAGCAGTACAGAAGTTAGTCAAAACTGACCAATGTCTGTGGTGATTCAATTTAAAACACAAAACTTAAAAAAAAAAAAATTTACAAAGTTTTGAAAATGTGATACATTTAAAGTCTATGGATATACATGGCATTATTCACAGCAGGTGCTTTGTGATGTTTAAATTAATCATGTATAACCTTTCAGTACCTGTATTGCAAACTATAATGCCAAAAAATGGGGGGGGGTGGGGAGAGGGAGGGGGAGGGAGAGGAAGAGGGGGAGAGAAGGGGGGGGAGGTGCCTGCCATAGAGGTGGGGGATGGGGAGGGCGAGAGAGAAACTGGGAACATTGATAGCGGGAATGTAAACTGGTGAAAGGACAGGTGTTGGAACGCTGTATGACTGAAACCCAATTATGAACAACTTTGTAACTGTGTATCTCAGAGGGATTCGATTAAAATAAAAATAAAATCCATGTAAAGTTGAAATAGCGTAAATGGTAAACTTCGTTTATATTTGTGGAGATAATTATGCTTAATTCTCTATTTGTCAAAATAGAATCTCAATATTATATTTCTCTATCACATAGCAGGCCATTTCCTAATCAGTGATACAATTTCATAATAATATTTTTAGGGCCATGATGGAATTCTGGTGAGAGATATCACCACAACACAATCAAGTACTATAAATGGACACTGAAAAGATTCGGAAATGAGCTGTTGTGGCAGAATTGATAATGCTTCTAAGTGAATATAACCAAAAATTGTGAGACAAAACCATTACAATAAAAAAAAATACTCTCTAACAAAGTTATTTTAATAACAACTATTTAAAAAAAAAATCTAACCAATGTCAGGGAAGGGGGAAATAGTACAATATCAGGGCTAGGGAGACAGATAGTACAGCAGGCAAGGCACTTACTCTGCACATGGCTGACCCAGGCTCGATCCCCGGCACCCCCATATGGGTCCCAGCGTTCTGCCAGGAGTGATCCCAGAGTGCAAGCAAGGAGTAAGCCCTGAGCACCGCCAGGTGTGGCAAAAAAAAACAAAAACAAAAAACCCTCCAGTGTACGTCATCAAACTCTTGGGATGGAGTAGTGAGGAAGAGTATGGTGACAGGAAAAGAGTTACACTGAAAGAGTTGTTTGGGGGGAAGGTCCATGCAGCGGGCAGGAAGGACAGCGGGTTCAGGCACCTGCCCTACAAGCAGCCCACCAAGGTTTTACTCAGACCCCGCCTCTGGTCCTCCGAGCCCCGCCAGCCCGCAGACTTGGGGGTAAGCCTCGAGCCCCGCCAGGCGGGGCCCCAAAGCCAAAAGAAGAACATCCAGGCAGGTTCAGGGTCAGAGTGTTCTGGAACGAACGCCACGAGGGCCCGGCGTGCTGGGCGGGGACCCACTTACTGCACCACGCTCTGCCGCAGGCCGTTGCGCAGCTGGTTTTTGTTCATGGTCGGGTTCCACTCTTGCTTGTCCAAGTGCGTGGACACGAAGTTATCCACTTTCTGCCGGAGGTTCTGGTAGGCCGGCTACCGCGACAGAAGGCGGAGGGGCGGTCAGGCGGGCGGCTGCGGGGCTCGGGCCCTCGCCCAGAACCCAGCTGGTCCAGAAACGGACTCGGGGTCCCGGCCGGGCCGGGCCCTGGAGACACTGACCTGTGGCGCCCGTCTGCCTGCTTCATTGGGTGGGGGGGCATTGCACACTGATGGGGGACCCCGGGAGGTGGGCTGGGGTGGGGCGGTGACAGCGCGGTGGCATGCGGCCGTGTGCCTTGCCCCCTGCGTGCTAGCCAGCCGGGAGGAGTGGACGGGAGAGTCCGGGGGAGCGGGCGGGAGTGGACGGGAGTGGATTGGAGGGTCGGGGGAGCGGACGGGAGTGGACAGGAGGGTCCGAGGGGAGTGGATGGGAGGAGTGAACGGAAGTGGACAGGAGGGTGGCGGGGGGAGCGGACGGGAGTGGATTGGAGGAGTGGACGGGAGCCCGGGAGGAGTGGAAGGGAGTGGACAGGAGGGTCAGGGGGAGTGGACGGGAGTGGACGGGAGAGCCCGGGAGGAGTGGAAGGGAGTGGACAGGAGGGTCGGAGGGAGTGGATGGGAGGGTCCGGGGGAGCGGACGGGAGTGGAGTGGATGGGAGATGGGAGGAGTGGACGGGAGTAGACAGGAGGGTCTGGGGGAGTGGACGGGAGAGCCCGGGAGGAGTAGAAGGGAGTGGACAGGAGGGTCGGAGGGAGTGGATGGGAGTGGATGGGAGGGTCCGAGGGGAGTGGATGAGAGGAGTGGACGAGAGTGGACAGGAGGGTCAGGGGGAGTGGAAGGGAGTGGACAGGAGAGCCCGGGAGGAGTGGAAGGGAGTGGACAGGAGGGTCAGGGGGAGTGGACGGGAGTGGACGGGAGAGCCCGGGAGGAGTGGAAGGGAGTGGACAGGAGGGTCGGAGGGAGTGGATGGGAGGGTCCGGGGGAGCGGACGGGAGTGGAGTGGATGGGAGATGGGAGGAGTGGACGGGAGTAGACAGGAGGGTCTGGGGGAGTGGACGGGAGAGCCCGGGAGGAGTAGAAGGGAGTGGACAGGAGGGTCGGAGGGAGTGGATGGGAGTGGATGGGAGGGTCCGAGGGGAGTGGATGAGAGGAGTGGACGAGAGTGGACAGGAGGGTCAGGGGGAGTGGAAGGGAGTGGACAGGAGAGCCCGGGAGGAGTGGAAGGGAGTGGACAGGAGGGTCAGGGGGAGCGGACGGGAGGGTCCGAGGGGAGTGGATGAGAGGAGTGGACGGGAGTGGACAGGAGGTTCAGGGGGAGCGGACGGGAGTGGACGGGAGAGCCCGGGAGGAGTGGAAGGGAGTGGACAGGAGGGTCAGGGGGAGCGGACGGGAGTGGATGGGAGGGTCCGGGGGGAGCGGACGGGAGTGGAGAGGATGGGAGATGGGAGGAGTGGACGGGAGTAGACAGGAGGGTCAGGGGGGAGTGGACGGGAGCGCCCGGGAGCAGTGAAAGGGAGTGGACGGGGGCGGACGGGAGGGTCCCGGGGTGGAGGGCGCGCCGGGCGCCCACCGCCGGCCGGGCCGCCCGGTTCCCGCGCGCGAGGTGCCCCCGGCCCGGGCGGGGCCGCCTCACCTTGGTGTCCACGTCGGCCAGGCAGTCGCGGCGGAAGCTGTCGAACAGGCCGCGGCTCTTGAGCTGCTCCACGATGAGGACGATGAGCTGCGGGTCCCCGGGGGGCAGCGTGGCGGGGTTCACCGCGCCGCCGCCCGCGCTGGGCCCCGCCGCGCCCGCCGCCGCGCCCGCCGCGCCCGCGCCGCCGCCGCCCACCGCGCCCGCGCCGCCGCCGTCCGCCATGGCCGCGGCCCGGGCCCGCGAGGAGCAGCAGAGGCGGCGCCCCCGCACGGACGGCGGGCCCGCGTCGCGAGGATGCCGGGAGGAGCCGGGACGGGCGGCCGGCGTGGAGGAGGCTGCGGCGGCCGGAGGCGACCGAGGCCACTGAGGCGGGGGAGACCGACCGCCCAGTCGCCGGCGCCCGGGTGACGTCACAGAGGGCCGGGGCATTGTGGGGCGGGGAGTCCTCCACGGGCGTCGCCGGCGGCCGTCGGGGGGGGGGGCTGGGCCGCCGGGACTACAACTCCCGGCAGGCACCGCGCGCCTCGCGGGCTCGCGGGGCATTGTGGGGCTTGTAGGCGCCGCTCACGGGGATGGCTGCCACCGGCCAGAACAGCCCCGGTCCCAGCAGTGCCAGAACGATCGTAAGACTCAGCTGCGGGGCTGATGCAAGGTAGAGGCTCACAGGCTCATCCCTTAGGGAGTGCTCCAGCCCCTCAGGGCTCCAGGGGCAAGGTTTCTAACGTGCACACGGCATCCTCCGTGGACGAAAAAGCGCGGTAATTGGGAAAGTGGCGCCTCCTGGAATTTTCTCTTGTTCAGTGTGTGTGTGTGGGGGGGGGGGGGGGGCAGGGCGGGGTGTTAAGGGAAGCGCACAGAATGACGAAAAGGAAAGCTCCCTAAATGATACCGTCTCTGCATTTTCTACCCCGTAGTAAGCATTGTCTATCCTGAAAGAGGCCAGAGAGTACAGTAGATAGGGCGTTGGCCTCACATCTTGCTGTGCAGTTCAATCTCTGGCAGCCCTTATGGTCATATGAGCCTTCTAGGAGTGATTCCCCAATGCAGAGCCAGGAATAGCCCTTGAGCAGCATCGGGTGTCGCTCCTCAACCAAATCAAACAAAAACCCTATCATAAAAATGACAACAGTTGGGGCTGGAGATACAGGACAGCAGGTAGGGCCTTGCATGCAGCTGACCTGGGTTAGGGCCCCTGAGAAACACCAGGAGTGATCCTTGAGCACAGAGCCAGGAGTAAGCCCTGAGCACCCCCGGGTGTAGTCCCCCACAAAACCAAAAAGGCAACAGTCATTCTTGGGTATTTGGAGTCTGCCGGATCCACCGTTCACCGTTGCCTCTTCACGCCATCTGCGAGGCAAGGATGCTCCTTGCTATTCTACAGATGCAGAAAGCGTGTGGCCTGACCGCACACAGCGAGTGATAGAGGATGTGAGTCCCAGTCTTGTCATGTTCAACTTGCTGAGCTCTAGCTGGCTCAAGCACTGGGCAAGGGGTGTTTCTAGTAGAGGCTTCAAACCAGTGTTTCATAGGCACCCACCACCAGGAGAACCCCAGGGCTGCCACTGCCAACTCCCTCGCAACCACATCCCTGCCGTTCCCATCAGTCATCGTGGTCTCCTGGTGCAGGGGATGCCAGCCTTGAATCGTGGGCTAGCCTTGGCGCTGGCAAGAGACGGACAAGATCTGGGAGGCTTTGGCAGATAGAGAACGGAACAGGTCCTCTTCGAGGCCATTTCAGCTGACCTCAAGACCCGAGAGGAAGTATGGGGCAGGGGAGACCCTTGCCTTGCATGTGGCCGACTCCAGCTTGATCCCCGCACCACACTCCAGAGCCCTGCCAGGAGACCCCTGAGTGCAGAGCCAGGAGTAAGCCCTGAGCACTGCCAGATGTGGCCCCAAAACAAAAACAGGGTGGGGGAGAAAGAGAAGGGGACGGAGTGGAGGAGAAAGGAAAGAAAGAAAGAGTAGGGCATTCGTTTAAGGCTGTTTCTGATCATTTCCAGTATGTAGTGTGCATATGTGAGTGTTTAGAGTGTAAGTGCGAACGTGTGTGATAGGGATAATGTGTGTCTCTGTGTGCACGTGTGTGTGGTGATGGAGGGTGTCACTGGAAGCATGAGGGCAGGAGATGTTGGCATCATCTGCATGACCTAACGGGTAAGTGGTGCTAGAAACGGGCAGCAAGGAGTCGTCCTTTAACATTCTCACTGTTGGTTGTGAAGAGTTGTATGGGGCTGCTGGAACTTTCTTTCGTGAAACCTGGACCTGCTATTGAGAGCAATGGGGTGTTGGGTGCAGAGTCAAGGGCAGGTATCCCCCAGCAGGTGGGAGGCTCCAGCCCTCCCAGTGGGCACCTCTCCCAGTCTGGAAGTGTAGGTCACAGCAGTAGGCGCCAGGGGGGGCCGTTGCTGCGTTAATGACGCTGGGCCTTCAGCAACTCCTCTGCGGTGTTGTCTCTAGTTGGCCTGGGCGCTGAGCTCGCAGTTCGGTGTCCCTTCTTCCAGCGGTGCCTTGGGGTCTCTTCTGGCCCTGTGCCAGTAGAGTTGCTACTGGGCATGTTGGGGGCCACAGGGTGCAGGGGATTGAGCCCAGAGTGCGGCCCGGTAAGCAGGTGCCGTAACCCCTTCGGAAGAGATTACTCTTGGTTCTCAGTGCTCAGCTTGGTTTCTGAGTGGCTCAAACAGGTGCTGGATGATTTATACACAAAGTCCACTGAAGGGCATAAAGGAAATTTTCCTTTATGACTCAGGTCATAAGGGATAATGGACAGCAACTGGACAAGAAACGAGACCCATCATTTGCCAAGCGGAATTTATAAATGCAGCCAATGGGTTTTGGGAACTTTTTTTTTTTTATCTTTTTTGGCTTTTGGGGTCATACCCAGTGATGCTCAGGGTTACTCCTGGTTCTGCACTCAAGAATCACTCCTGGCGGTGCTCGGGAGACCCTATGGGATGCCGGGAATCTAATCTGAGTTGGCCTCGTGCAAAGCAAACGCCCTCCCCGCTTTGCTATCCCTTCCGCCCACTTTTTATTTTCTCTTGCGTTAGATGGCACTGACACTTTGGGGCTGTGTGGCTTTAAGGAACTTGCAGCACCTCCCTGAGCCTCAGTTCCTCGGTACCTACAAGAGGCGGAAGCCTCATTTTGGCCTTATTCTGGTCCTTAGCCAATGCTCACTAGTGTTCCAGTCCTGAATTGCCATGTGGGTTAGGATTCAGTCATTTCTCTGACTCCTCTGCTAAGTTCTGAATTCCCGCAAGGCAGGCGTTGCCGCTGTCATTTGTCCTGGTGGGCTGGGTCCTGGGGCAGTGGCGTGCACGCTTGCAGTGAGCGTGAAGGCATGAGGCAACGTCTCGGCAGCGTGGTTGGCCTTGAGCGCTGCACAGGAAGGGTTCAGCCTCCCAAGCAGACAGATCCAAGTGCAGCCCCCGAGTCCCCCTGACTACCACGAGCCTTTACTTGGCCAGAAACCAGGAGTGGATTAACACCCTTTGGCGCCGGGTTTGGTTTCTGTTTGGGGACCAATTTGGTGATGCACAGGGCTTCTTCCTGACTCTGTGCTCAGGGGTCACTCCTGATGGGGCCGGGGCACCGTATGTGGTGCCCAGGATTGAGCCTCGTCGGCTGCGTAAGGACCATCTCATGAGCACTGTGGCTGGGTGTGGCACAAAAACAAGGCAGTAGAAATGTTTGTATGGTGCTGAACCAAACACGGCCAGTCCATCCATTTATGTCATCTGTTATGAGTGTGGTGAGGAGGCGGGTACTGGTACCCGGGGCTGTTCCTGACTGTGCTCGGGAGTGCCACCTGGTGGGCTCATACGGAGGGGATTCGAACTAGGGTAGTGGCCTCCCCTACTATCTCGCAGGCCTGACCTTCCTGGCCTTGAAGGCCTTGTCCTTCATAGGGTGCGACCCCCACCCCACTCACAAAGGACACTGTGTTTGTTCTCTCCCAGGGATGGGGCCGTTCGTCTGCGCCTGGGGTCTGGAGACGGAGCTCCACCGAACCTCAGAGAGAGGTGAGTGCTGTCAGCAGGGTGCTCCCGAGCCTGGCCTGGCCCGTTAGCAGCGGCACCCTGAGCGGCCTCAAAGCCATGCCTGTCTCCCAGTGGGCAGGCCATCCCGGAGACCCCATAGTGCTCTGCCTGCGTGCTGTGTCCGCGCGAGGCTCCGGGCCGAGGACGGGCATCCTGGATGGACAGGGCTCTCCCGTCCAAGATGGCTGCCCAGGTAGCCACCAGGTGGGGGGACACTGCAGGGCCGGCTGGGAAACGTAGTCCAGAGCATTCTGGTTGACTTTTTTTTTTTAGTTAAAAATCGGGGTTTGGATGATTACGGAAGAGTCGGCCATGAGGAGGGTGTTGTCTGATGAGTGCCTCTGCCATCCGGCCGGCTGCTGCCTCAGCGCCTTCCTGTCTCGGGGGGATTTCAGCCGCCCTGAGACTGGCTGGGGGGAGGACCGGGGCTTCGGGTCAGCTCAGGCCTGTGTGACTTCCCGTCTCGGAGGCGCGGGCTGCTCGTGGCGAGCCTCTGGCTCCGGGTGGGGGGGTGGGGGTGCACTCCTGGCTGCCAGCCCTGGGGAGTGCAGAGGCTGCCGTCGCCGTGTTGGCGCCACACGTCCCAGGTGGGCTCCCAGTACACTTGATCTGACTTGTATTTTATTGGTTTGGGGGGGGCCACACCCCACGGATCTTGGGCTCCTCCCAGCCCAGTGCTCGGGGCCTCCCACAAATGAAGTGAGTACTCCTGCCTTGCGAGTGTCACTGTGGATCAGGGCCTGCCAGGGCCCAGGCCTGGTACTTGTAGGTAGGGTACCTGAAATGGGTGCAGAGGATCCCATTTTACAGAGCAAGACTGAGGCCCAGCCAGCTGGGCTGTTCCTCGGGTCTCCTGCCCCGGCCCTCTGCACGCTGCAACCCAGCTCTGCCCTGTGCTAACCTACCTGACGTTGAGTCCTTTCACCCTGGGCCCTGCATCTGCCCACAAACCCAACCCCGCCACCCCCAGTCTCCTTAGCTGGAGGAGGGGGCTCAGCATTGCCGGAAGTCGGAGCCAGGCTTCTGGTGCCATGGTGACGGTTGCCATAGAAACGCCTGCACTCAGCACGCCTCCCGGGATCTGTGGGGTTTGCAGAGGCTGAAGCCAGTGGTGGGGGAGGGTGGGGGCAGCGCGGCCTCGTGGTTAGAGCACCTCGCCGGCCCACGCCTCAAGACTCC